TGGGAAAATTCTTCTTCTACCAGTCCTTCATCACCTTAAACGAAATTGGGTGAATACATCTCATATTATTAAATATAGTTGATATGAGGAAAAACTTAATTTGGAAGAGTGCCTTAGTGAAATTTTATGACATGACTTTCCATTTCGAATGAAAATTTGGTCGAAAGAAATTCGTGAAATGGTAGAACCGGAGACCGAGGAAGGATTGCCGCAGAGTGAAGACTGCTGGATTGTGCCAATAAGTCGTCCTGCTCACCGTCCTGCGACTCCAATGAGCCTAGGCTAAGCTGTCTTCTGTCCTGTAACATACATCATCATCTCTTGGTTTAGTATCTTTTCGCTCTATTTCGTAAAGCATGTATTCTTACTCTGATAATGTCTGTCACGGCGGTACAAACGAAAGCTTAGCACGGGTTCATCGGGGCCGCAGAATGGTGAGCTCAGGACTTCTTCTCACAATCCAACAGTCTTCACTCCGCCGCAGTCTTGCTTCAGTTTCCGGTGATACCATTTCACTTATTCCTTTTAACCAACTTTTTCTTCGAAATTGGAAGTCGTGCCTCAATACAATAGAAGCTAAAGTGACTTCACATCTAAACGTCAGATTAGGAATCATAGACACCATGTTTAAGATGATGTGGCCTTGAGTATTGTCGCAGTCTTCTCGAGTTGTATCGAGTTGTTATGGCCTCGAGACCTTGTTGAATGTATACGGCCCTCCATCATGATCATTTCCAGCTTCAGATCATTGACTTGATACATTCTCAAGTAAGAGTGGGGACGTTGTAGCAATAATGAAGGCAACCAACTTCCTGAACAGGAGGAATGAATATTGGAAGCTGAGTCGGCACTATATGTGGCTAGTGGATAGGTCTCGAATTTGAAAGGTTTCCTCACATTTCACATGACCTAGGAGCATTTTATGCACACACCTCAGGTATAACCACACACATACACACACGTCAACCATGCGGGCTGAAACGTTGGCTTATTGATGTAAGGAAACAGCTCTTATCACGCCCGAATATTCTTCATTTACCATGTAGGGTAGGAACTAAAGTTGCTTTAGGTTCCCACAATCTTACGAGTAGACCTAACGATGCTATTGAAGTTTACTTAGCCTCGCCTTTCAGAAGGTATTTTCATATTGGCTGAACTAGGCTACAATTTTGACTTCAACTGGACCTCATTGGTACCTTTAACGAGAATCTAGACCTTGCGCTACAATGTCTATATTTGGATATGTTACCGCTACGCCTCACTTTCTCTCGATGCTAGTACCTTCTGGGAGGCAAGGTTAATTGAAATTCGATTCCATCATTAGGAGTAATTATATTATTATAAAAAAATTCGCTATTAGTCCGTAGTCAGCCTAGGCAAACTAAGGTGATTTTAGTTTCTAGGTCGGCTTTCGAAACTACCAGTAGATCTCGAACAAGAACTATGTTCACCCTATTTCGTGTAAGGTGATGAGGGACTAGTAGTTGAATTTTCTTACAATAAAATGAGTAAACCTTTCGTTTTCATTAAACTACACAGTGCCTTGATTCCCAAAAGGTATTCTCATCCAGGTTAGAATAGAATGCCATTTCTACCTTGTACAGGTCTCATCTGCACCCACAGCAAGACTCAAGCCTGGGTTGTGTGGGGGTTACTTTCAACATAAGATCCGATCCCAATTTTTAGTCCCTCTATGGGTGTCGATAAGACCCGGGGTGGGTCTGAACCACAGTCTAGCTTGGATAAAAATATCTTTTGGGAAGCTAGGCTAAATGAAGTTCGATGGAAGCGTGAGGCCTACATATATGATTGTGATAAAATTCATCACCCTAAACTTAATAAGATGAATATAGTTCTTACTCAAGACTTTTTGTTACTCTCTAAAACATACACATTATTGAATATAAAAACCAAATCATGAGATGTCTCATTGTGATTGCAAAATTTGGTATAAGAAGCGAGTACACTTGCTTCCGGCTACCTTTCTTTGTTCAGTCTACTGGTTTTTCTTTCTTAAATGATGGCTTCTTGCTCGACGATGACTTTCACGAATGGGTCGTCCGGTAGCAGGACGACGAACGTATAACTACTTGGCGCATTCCAGCAGTCTCGATTGCAAGGCGATCATCCTCCCTCAATTTCCTGTGAAGCTAATTTACGAATCTCCTCCAATCAACTTTTCCTTCGAAATGAAAAGTAGCATCATATAAAACTTTTTTCCTTCCCTATCCCCATTTAGAGGCGAGCTTAGTGGCTTTTTTTCACCCATCCGTTCACGTTCACGAGTTCGAGTCCAATGTTGGGACGATGCTCTTAACCTTGACACTTTCAATTCGTTTCATGTATTCTGTTGAATTTACTCTGATTACCTTGGATGAGATGATTTATGTTCTATTTGAGGCAGGCTTGTCGGCAACCATTTTAGCAAAGGAGTGCAGTGTAAATTTCACCAAGGCACCTCTTACACCAGACTTAAGTCGGATTCATAAGAATGCTTCCAAGTTGCATTATTTTCCTGATCAAATCAATTTTAAAGTTGCCGGAATTCTTGTATGAAAGTCGGCTTCGAGCCGTCCGGTCCTGCTCTAAGGTCCCTCTGAAATGGCTTTGGTGACAAGTTTGACATGCCCTTATGACTAGTTGTCTGAATATCATGCCAAGCCCTCAGGGTTATTCACAATTTTGTAGAACAGTCATCTGCAACGCCTAATTATGTCAACGGCCATCATATTTTCCTCAGCTAGCCTGTGTCTATGCACACACATAAACACACACAAACACTACCCTAGCGCAGAGACAATAGTTTATGACTAAAATTCGCTCTTAGTCTTAATTTAACTTTGACCTGGCCGAATTGATAAACTACTAATCACACATCTGAACTATGTTGTCAAGTAAATAAACGATAACTCGGGATATGTGGCCGAAGCCCAAATTTTTTGCATTAATTCAGTTTGCTCCATCTATCCATTACTCGCTCAAGAATATACGAATTGATGAGTGGAAGATGGAGCGATTTTATGCCTGTTTTAGACGGCAGTGTGATATTCTCGCCAGCAAGCCCGATTTAATCAGCCAAGCATACTACTTAATTCTGTCAGTGAAGGCGTCTGGAAACCCTTGCCGTTTTATCACGGGATTCCACATGTTCATCTGATTGTGCTCACAAGTTTGCACTTTTTTTCTGTAAAAGGGAAGGCATGGCAAACAAAGAACGACAATCCTTCATCACCTTATGCCGGTTGGTGTGGACACATTTTTTATTCACAGTCTAGTCATAGATTCGAAATTTACTCAATCGGAATATAAGTATTACAGTCAAGCGTAGTGGCAAATGCAAGTTTGCTTCATCGATAATCTAACTGTAAAAACGTGGCACGGCAGAGGGTTGACCTTCCTCGAAATTCGCGTCTACCCTGTGACTAAGTGGGTACTCGTGCGAGTGTGGGATAGCGGAAACAGGTTGAAAATAAACGATGCACGCTCTTGGCTCGATTCCCGTTGGAGGGGCTGATGATACCAGTTCGGTCGAAACCGAACTCCCAGTCTGGCCGGAATGAGAGCACTTTTTGTGAAGCAATGTTAGGCGAACTTCAATGGCATCGTGACGTCTATCCATCTGGTTGTTGGAAAGTTCACCTATCAGCCATTCATCACTAGTCGTCTAGGGTAAATGCAGTTCCTATTCAAGATCCACTGGTAGTTTCGAAAACTATTTTATGTGGATAAAAAGAATGGCAACACTGCTGGGAAACTTCATCATTATTTGTGAATCTCATGTCACACGAAATTCTGCATCACTTCGATATGATATTACTACACTTGACTTCTGATGCCAACTAATGGAAGTTTGTATGTAACATGACTTCTTTCGATCTCCGCCCAGTTTGTGTCCTCATTCCTGTTCGAACTCCTGACCCAATCTCTATCACGGCTTCACTTATCTCAAATAGGTCACCAAGATTCACCGCTAGC